GGCCCCAGCTGTTGGGATGGCTGGTCCAGGACATCACTTGCTGTAGTTTGTCACTAGCTGAGCACAGGTGGGGGTTTATGCCAGCTTTGCCTTATGTCAGGCCTGTCCAACATACGGCCCGCGGGGTGATAAAATATGAATATGGCTTGCCGGCCCACTGGGTGATAAAAAGTTCATGATCCGGCCCCACATTCAAAAAGGTTGGACACCCAAAGGTTGGAATAGACCAAACCACTTACTCAAAAAGCTGTGTGGATCCTCAGTGAGGATTACCTATAGTTTCTTTTTGTGAGCATTCATGGGCTGCCATGTTGCAAATAAACACTAGCACATTCCATAAACTTGGGGCATAATCAATTATAAGAATGATGAAGAAGAATATACCCTTGACAATCATCTTTTGGACTCTCTCAAAAGCTGCTTGACAAGTTTTCTTAGCTAAAACATGATCTATTTAATATTCACCATTAAAGGCGTTTTCCAGTTGACTGCCATATGAACACATTTTCAACCTGAATAAAATGTGGGAAAGTGTACTGAGGAAGAAGTTTAGCCATGTAGGAACATTACACTGTGATGCTTGGCTTGTTCCCTGGTCAAATGACAGACAGGTCTTAACCCTATGAAATGTAAAGAATGACATATAGGAAGTGCAGGTGGAACCTGGTCTAGTGAGTATAATTTTGATCATTCTTGTCATTGCAGGATGATCTTGGAACCAATCTCTGTTCCTTATTCAGCAAACTTACTGCATCTTTCAGTGTTGACAGGTAAATGCTATACTGCTCTGCAATGTCTAAAGCCATATAAATTATTGTTGCAAATTTCAGCACCATGTTTGCAATCAAATCACTATCACCTGTAACAATAACAAGCATTTCTCACTTATTCCTACATGATAGATGTGAGGCAGCTGACCTAAAGAATTATAATTCAGTCCATTCCCTATAGGAACAAAAAAGAAAAAAACACAACCCACAGGTCCATACATATCCAGACAGGCATATTTTCTAGAAGGTAGAAAAATATAAACCCAAAGTTTAAATCACTAGAATCATGTTGCTTCCTCTTCCCAACTCTAGACAACTTTAATAATTGAAAAACAAAATTACAAGACCTGGAGACTGCCATCTTGCTAGCATCTATCTTGTTCTTGTACAGGCAGGATCCTATGGATTGCAAAAGATGTTACTCTAATTTTATGAGATCTCTAGTATTACTCCCTTCTATCACATCTTTTGTCTTTATCTTACAAAATATTCATGAATATGGAAAACAGCTAGTAAAGTCTAACCAGAGAACTGTTCAGTGTTTAGTGTATTGACTCGGTACTAGAGAGATCTGAATTTAATTCCCAGCTACAAACCTGGAGGGGTGCGGGAGAAAGGGGAGAGGGTGGAAATTAGGCTTGCCACTCCAGAAAGGATGTGTTGCAAGGCACTTAAAGATCATTCAAGTTGTAATGCTTGCTTCTTTGTGTTCAAATATTAGTCATGAGTAGATACTGTAACATCTGTAAGGGCTGCTTGGAAACCTCACCTACTCTAGAATGTGGCTGCCCACCTCCTAAGTGGGATTCATCAGTGTGAACTCTTCATTAAGCTATTCCATGGACTGATGTAAATGGAGTCTGGCCCACCAAATTCAATCATATATACTCCCAAATATAGTTCCAGGCATGATCTTGCAACTAAGATGCAAGGATTCTGGTGTACAAGTGAAAGCAGTGGAGACAGGAGAACACACAATAGATAGTACTGGTGGCATCATAGGAGTTTTTGAGGGAAATGGGCAAGTGAAAACAGAGGCTTCCCCTTATCTGTGCTCCCAGACTTTTTTGGAAGAGCAGAGAGCAAAGCAGTAGTATCTTAGGTTTGAGGGGATCTAGGAGAGATTTGGTTTTGGAAAATAAGTTGTGATTTTTGTAATTTAAAAAAAATTACAAGCATCTGTAACAACAGATGAGGGGACTGGACTCAATGATCTATAAGGTCCTTTCCAGCCCCTAACAATCTATGAATCTAACACTGGCTGTGCATATTTTAAATAAGGTGCAATTAATGAAATGGGGAGGATCCAAAAAAGTAATCATGTCCCCTTCCTATTTGATCAGCCCTACCCTACAAGCGTGTGTGTGTACATATATATATGTTAGACTCTGTGCATGTGTGTGTATACACACACACCCCAACAATTTCTTTAAAAGATTGGTAATGTTTTTAAAAAATGGTAAAAATGTCTCCATTCAATCTGAAACAACTGTATTTGAAACCAGTTTTGAACCTGTACCTCCCTGTAGTGCTTATAAAGGCAACTTTGCAGTATGGTCCTATACAATGCTGTTATCTCACAAGATGGAACCATATTGCAACAAGCAGCTTTGCCCCTAGTATAAAATGACAAAAAAAAAGTTCAGGACAGCTAAAACACTGCTGCTTCAAGCCTCATCTGCTGCAGGGCTCACAGCAGGAACAGCACTGCTACCACTCCAAGGCCTGTAGCTGACAAGGCTCGCAGAGAGGGCAGCGTTCTCCCACTGCAAACTGCAGGGCTGAGGAAGCTGTCCCCCTGCAAGCCTGCACCTTCCAGGACTGGTGACGGAGCAGTGTTCTCCTTGCTGTAACCACTGACGCTGATGAGGCTCAGACCCGGGACAGCTCTGGAAACACTGCTGCTACCATAAGCCTCATTAGCTGCATTGATTGCAGTGAGTGGTGCAAAGCCGCAGTTGATGGGACTCCCAGTCACAGGGTGGCACTTAGCCACTCATTCGATTCATAGTGTCATTAGAATAAGCTACTACCTTGGAGAACACATCTCTTACCCATTGTCTGCCTCATCTTATTTTCACTGACTTTTTTTTACATGCATACTGGCCTCTGGCTTCTTTACTAGTCCACCCAGGAAGACTGCAGATGCTTCCTCAGCCAGATAGCTACAACCTATGCCCCTAACACCAGCAGAGCCCCCCTATGCCTAACAGAGGATGCTTGTGCCCTAAAGCTTGCAAAAATCTTTAAATTAACTCTGCCTTATGATCTCCTGATAATGAGATCAAATCTCAGGATTTCTTCTGGTGAATGCAAAGAGCGCAAAGCTGGTAAGTCTGTGGAGAAGGGGTGGGGGTGGGAAGAGGAGGGGGGAAAAGGGTAGGGGTGAATGTGGCCCCAGGGCCACAGGAAGCATAGGGGGCACATGCACTCCAGATTTGTGCATGGGACAGAGGCAGGCTCTCACATGCCCTCCTGCCTTTGTCCCAGGAATCACACACACACACACACTTCAAAAATAGCATCTCATGATTTACATTCCAAGTCTCTTGATTCTGAAGAGTTTATCTTATGACTTTTGACATGCTGGCGATGGCAATACTGTTAATAAAAGATACCCATCTACCCAAAGAACCTGGCCTGCCAATGTCCTTAGACCAATATGGCTACACACAGCAACCCAACAAAGTTATTCCACAATGTTTATGGTCGTTCACTGGTGGAGCGAAGTCACAGCTTGATTGCCTGGTTAATCATCCCTGTAAGCATGGGGGAACAGGGGAGCAGGGCCTCAGCTTCCCTCTGCGGAAGCAGCTCTGGTGACTGCCACCGGCTCTGGCTTGTGTGGACAAGCAGGCAACAACCACCCATGAGCGTCATGATGCATCACCCATAGGGCACGGGAACCTGGGCGAGAAAGCAGGAACAAGCCACAGCCGGGCCCCACGAAGCAGCTGCAGCAGCGGCGGGTACACCAGGACATTCCGGCGCCCCCTCACAGCCCTTCCCCCGCACGGCTGCCAGAGGCAGGGAGCCGGGACAGTGCGTTCCATCCGGGTCCTTCTCACTCCAATCAGCAGCCGCGGGGCTGGGGGGAAGGGAACAGACGGCTAAGCTCACGTGGCCTGTAATCATCACCCTCCCCCGCACGGGCTGAGCCGCGACTTCCCTGCAAAGGGAGCTGCCAGCGCACCGGGGGGCATTGTGGGAGCTGCCGCCGTCGGTAATGCTGGGAAATGTAGTCCCGCCCCCGCCCCGGTTCTCCAGCGAAGGGAGGCCCCGCCCCCCTGGCCCAGCTCGTCTCCCGTTTGGTCAGCGGGGAGAGGTGCATTCCCAGCGGCCCCTGCGCGGGGGCGGTGCGCTCTCCTGCTGGGCAGGCGCTGCCGCACGTGACGCTGCGTTCGGGGCCCGCGGTGCGCTGCTGGAAGAGTTGCCGGTAACCTGTGGCCAGGTTGGGGGGCGGGGGGCAGCGCGGAGAGCCTGGCGCTGAAGGCGGGTCCCCTCCTCCACGAGGGGTCCCGGTGGGGGAGCGGGGTTGATCTCCGGCGGGGTCCGCAGGCCCCAATCCCAATCCCGCCCACCTGCTTCTCCCTCAGGCGTTTCCTGCACCAGCTCCGCAGCGAGGGAGCGCCCGCAGCAGCGCCGTGCACCAGGTGAGGGTCCTTCCTGCAAGTTTCGGAGCCACCTTGACTTGACTCGTGCTCCCGCCGGGAGAAGCCCCTCGTCTCGGACTCGGGTACACGGCAGGGGCAGCGCTGTGGGGGCCTCAAGCCCAGTCAGAGTCATACCTGCCTCCCTCCGCTGCCTTCCCTCCCAGCACAGAGCAGGTGGGAGCTGCCCTTGCCCAGCTGGTGAGCAGGGCAGCACCGCTTCAGGGCTGGGCAGAGGCTGCGCTTCCCCATCTCTGACCAGGGAGGGGCTGAGCCACAGCGGTGTCCCACAGTAAGGGGCAAGCAGGGAGAGTTGGGCAGGGGGGAGAGCCAGCAAGCTACAGGGGAAAGATTTGGGGGTAAAGGGGCCATGTGACTCCTTGCCATGCATGGGGGCTAATTCAAAGACAACCCTCCAGTAATTCTGTGCCTGGAAGATTATGATAAGTTTATGAATTTTCCATATGACTAATTTAATTATTGGGGTGGGTCATCTTAAATTCCGAGTCATTTTGAATATGGGTCATTTTAAATATGGCATTATTCCTGTCTCAAATCTAAATATCCAGTTAAATTCCAGTTCCAAAGCAGTGAAGCTCAGTAACCCTGTTTGTACATATCTGTGGGCCATGTCTTTTCAACCAAGCGAGGGTCCTGAATACAAGTCCCAGGCCTCAGAGTCCAGGTATTACCCATTAATGCTTGATCTGAGCCAAGAAGTTGAGAAATAATAAGTAATGGACATTACCAATTTCACTGGAAAACCTCAGTGCAGATGAGGCTGTTCAGTTTTACTGCCAGGTAAGCTAAGAAAGAATAATTATGTGCAGGAAGCATGTAGTGGCCCTTGCCCAGCTTCCTTGCGGTAAATACTTGCTTTGTCTCCATAGGGGATAAATATGGGTTTGGTATATCACTATAAAATAAGCGGGGGTGAAAGAAGCAGGGGAGGAAAAAACTATCTGTAAAGAAAAGCCTACACTTCCAGAGTACTAGTCCTGTATTTTCATGCAGTTTTTGTGGTCATATCTGTGAGTGTGGAGTTTCTTTGAGATGCAGGTAAAGATAGAAACCCTCTCCTGTTCCTTTTGGTTTTTGTTTTAGGTACTGTTGAAGTACCAGCCTGTTTCACTCCTCTTTCAAGATAACTTGAAAATCAGCATGGCTTCTCCCTGCAAAGCCGCAGACTTCTTCTTTGTACTCATTTCACTGCTGTTTCTACTGCCTGGGGTTGAAGCCCTGGATCTTGGAGATGCAGTTGCCCTCTTGCTGGGCTTAGCTTTCAGTGTCACTGGACTCTGTGCCTGTCTAGGCTGGTATGCAAGAAGAAGAAATGGACAGCTATAACTTTCAGGAGATGCCCAGGTCAAGAATAATTCTAAAGTTTTCTTGTTGGGATTTAAGATTTAAAACTGAGTGAAGTTTCTGGTAGCTTTCTGAATCATGAAGTGGGATCCTTCAAACTTATCTTGCTCTGCTATGCCAGTAATAAGGACTGTGCTTGGCAGAAAGTGTTTGCAAGATCTATTCCAGTAGCAGTAAGATGATTTCATATTGCTTGTGATGAGATACTGCCTTAACACTAAGGTGGAAATGAGCTATTTGAAGAAAAATGTACTCAAACTGATTAAGTAAAAGTTTTAAATTTTTTTTTTTGAGCAAAATGCTTGACTGACTCTACAAGTTGGATTACAGTGGATGGTCAGCAGAAAGGCAGCCATTAAGATGCTAGTCAGGATAGAAACTTGGAAGTACTGAATCTCTCAGTTTTAGAACTAAAGAGCCAGGCCTATTTGTAAATGCACAGGTTCTTCCTAATGAGAATTTAAAAGGAAAAAAAAACCCATAATAGCTCATTTCTTTTGTCATAGGGCTAAGACATCGGAGCCTTAGAAAAATGTGGAAAAAATCTCTACTGGTAAAGCATACCTCCACTGTAGCGTAGGTTTATGTTACAAATTAGAATCAATGAATAGCTTTGTTTTGCAAGAGGACTAGTATTTTTCTTTAATATGTGTATGACGCATAGGAATGTCTGTAACATGTCTACTGGTCAAAGGGAAAAATTTATGTTGTAAAAACTTGGAAAGACCAAATGTTTTGTGCATGTATCTTCTTTGTTTACATCTTACAACCATTTCTCTCTGAAATGGGTTCAGTTTGGGGTTTTGTTGTTTGCAGTATCTTTATATTGGGAAAAATCAAGAAATCCAGTAAACTGTTTGACAAAATTTTAATAGCTGGTCAGTAGGCCCCACTTCATGATGATGCTTTTATGCCTTCTTTAGCTAGCACTGATGCCCCAGTCCTAACTCCCCTGGGTTGTCCACTTGAGCTCTATGCAAGATTGTGGCCAAGGCTTGTGCCAAAAGAAAACAACTAAACAAGTATTCAGAACTGTACTGAGAACCTGGTGAATGTTTTGGCAGATAACTTGCTTGAATTTTTAATAGTCTTGTTCTACACGTCCACAGCCAGATCTTCTGGTGTGAGTAAAACTTTGATAAGCACTGTTGTGCATTTTTTGGTCCTACCAGAAAATACTAATACTGGTGGGGTAGAGCATCCTACACAACATCTTCCTTTCTACCAGCAGAAAGGCATGTGGCTATAGTTAGGAATGTTTTTTGACCACATTGTTTCTATAGGTGGTTTGGGGCCTTTGGAGTTGTTACCAGCCAGTATTAGGTTGCTTTATCTCAATAAAAAGTTCAGCCCCACATAAACAGTAGCAGAGTGACTAGAAGGTGATCTCCTTTGAAACTTGCACCGTGTGCAGCTCAACTGGAGCTGGCAACCTGGACTGGTATAATTGGGAAGTCAGTGAAGAGGGTAAGAGGCAGAGTGCAAAGCCCTGTTCTTTTGCTACCCCTTCTTTCTCCCTCAGGTCTTCTAATAATGCAGCACAGAGCAAGGGATAAATGATCAGGCAAATTCAACAAGTCATTGGGTAGTTTGACCATGGTTTGATTTCTGAAGCTTTTTAGACTTCCAGATGTCATTTAGAAATGCTTTGGCCTGTCTAGCCCTCTTCTGTGGAAAATGGACAAAGGTAGACAAATCCCAGCTGTTAAACTCTGGGCTCTTCAATCTTGTGATTAATCTGTTCCAAGCAACCTGGCCAGCAGGCTGCCAAAATCCATACAGGGTTGGAGTTGTAGGAGCAAATGCAGCTGCCCCTCAACATCAGGTACAACAGAGAGATCCCCTCTGCTCTTAGTCTGATTCAGCTTGTGTGTACTACATCAACATCAGTTCAACTCATAGGGTTGTTATGTTCACCTGCAGGCCTTTCCTCAGCTGACATATAATGCCCTCTCCCTGAGGTTTTGAGGTCAAGAGTAGAAAGAGATTCTGCATGCACCAAAGCACTACAGTGAAATCTGCATTCTAAGATTTACACTCCAGAAAGGAAGTAAAGTACTTAGTGATGCCCTGCCCTTCATGAAATGCAGTGAAGGGACCTCTGCTCAGCAGCTGTGGATGACCAGATATGTTTATATAGCAAGGTAAAGGCTGCCACATCCTACTCCACGCTGTAAGCAAAAGGGAGGAGCATGGGGGGCAGGGCATAAATACTGGAGGCACCCTTCCTTTCCCCACATCTAAGTCCTTTTTTATTCATCAGTGAATCTGTTCACGAGACCAAGACTCACAAGCCTGTCAGACTCTGAACTTTTCAAAAAGAGCAAAATGTGACCATTGCTAGCTTTCCCTAAACTCTTCTATCTTGTTCTCTTAAGAAAAAATGCTAGATTCTTCTTTAGGAATTTCCCACAATTGTGTCTTAAGTTTTTCTCCCTTGTAGAGCAGCCAAGCAAAAAATTCTTACTATCATCATTACTGTCAGGTTATGGGATACTAGGAATTGTATTCTTCGCCTGTGGCCACATGTACATAACTGAAGGATATTTCTATGCACAATGGTGTGTTTAACCTGGTTTTGACAAATAATACTTATTGTATTGCTAACGAATTGCAACTTTCATGGGTTTACTAACCGCATGTATACATTTTGATCTTCCTTTTGTTTTCTCTCAATTTGTAATAAATTCTTTCAAGTAAGTTCTGGTGGTAGTTCAATAATTCAACTTGTGTAAGAAGAATAAAGGGGATGGGAGAGAAATAACGGAATAATAAAAACAGTTTAAATAAAGCTATAGCCTTAAATTGATTTAAAAAAAATACTTGCAGCCTACACTGATGTGTATTTTAGCTTATGATCATCTTTGCCATATTGACAAGATAGCAATGCTGTCTCATTTCATTGTCCATAACTGATTTCATAGCAATTTAAATGCCCTTAAAGGGTCTGATCCTGCTCCATGAAATCAATATCATCATTCCCTTTGAGTTCAGTGGGCAGGGTCAAGCTCTTAATTGGCTGGTTAGAAGTGACCTGAGGCACTTTTATGTTCTTTTTAGCTTAAACTCTAAATTTCCAGGATTGTAATAAATGGCATTCTTATTAAAACCAACTTTGCCACAGTAGCTTTTGTAACCAGGCACCCAAGGAAATTAAAGACCATTTAACGTCCCCAAAAATTACAGTCTAATATTTATAATCTTATAATGATACATTTTCATGGAGCCTCCACAAATTGGTTGTTTTATCTTGGCATTGTTCAGTGGAAGCTGGTCTAGCTACTTAATTTGACTTCTGGACCTCCGTTCAGTGTTGTGGGGGGTGGTTTTTCTACCAAACATATTTAGTAGTTGTATAGAGACAACTGTATAGAGTAAATGTAACCATACAGTACTCACTCTGAGAAAACGGTATATCCTTTAACGTAGAAGGCTTCAAAGTAAAGAGTTATTGGTTTTCAGTATGTATACTCTATGGCCATGTCTATGTGTGCTGATTTAAGATGCTTTAGCCCAATTTAAGGCACATTAAGGACACATGTCTACATATGCGCACCCTTAATATATCTTAAAAATGGTGGGTTTAGGCTATTTGCACCTACATTTGATACTTTCAAAAGCAGGTATCAGATTTAGGCATGAATAGCTAAAGCACACTAACTCACATATAGGGGTATTAATAGTGTGTATGGACTGATATGGGACTAACTGTAGTCTCATGTCAGTGCACACAGCACTAATGTGCTTTAATACATGCATGTGTAGACACAAGCCTAAATTGCCTTAAATGTGAATTAACTCTTGGCATGCCTAAATGCATGTGTAGACATACAGTATGTACTTTAGCAATAGCATAGCTCAGAAGATCAGCAACCTTGCAAATTTTTGACAATCAGCATGGAGCAAGAAGACAGCTGTGAATGAACAAGACTAAATGCCTGCGCACTTAAAGAATGTTACATAGCTTCTTGTGCTGCTGCTGGAGCCTTTCACCCACTCAGGTAAATGCTGCTGCACTTTTAACAGCCATAATAAGTCTTGACATTTCTCTAGCATCTTTTATCCAGGAAGCCAAGCCCTTACACAGACACTAATCAGTAAAGCCTGACAATACCTTTCCACTGAGATGCAAAGAGGTGCAAAAAGCTTGGCCCAGTGTTTCACAGGAAGCATGTCATACAGTCTACATGTTCACTGAAGTATTTGGGGGACATTCTTGCCATGCTAGCCCAGAGGCTTATGCCCTACAAAGTGGCTTGGAGCTCCAAATTCCTATTAGTTCCTTATATAAAGGCTGTTTGTACTTTCTGAGAAAGGAGGGGCAAGTTGATTTCAGTGTTTATCATATAAACATGACTAAATAGCAAAGACCCATAATAGGTCTGTTACCATGGTACAAGCCATAATTACTGCACTACAACAGTAATATTTTCATTTGCATCATATCTGATAAAACAGTTTGGCAGCTCTACTATGCTATAACCTCGAGAGGATTTGGACTAGTGGGGAGGAGAGCTAATGTCTGATTCTCCTCTCAGTTACACCAGGAAAGATTAGGAGTAACTCCACTAAAGTCAACAGTAGGGCAGGATTGTCTAGCACTTCTGAAAATAAACCCAATTCAGCAAAACAGTTGTGGACCATTTTAGGTGCCTACAGGTGGAGGTAGATGCCTCATAGGGTTTAAAACTGGTAAGGCACCTAAGTCCCATTAGAATCAGCCTTCATGTATTTTAAGGTACCTCTAATATTCAGTGAGACAAGTGTACTCAACTGGCTGGCATGCTTTAATGAAGTTACATTTATAAAAGAATGTAAGCAGGTGGGAGATGCTTCTTCACATGCACTGAAAATTCATCAATGTTAAGTGTAAAGGTATTTAAAAAAAGATCAAAACAAAAAAAGCCCCGTGTGTGTGTAGTGCATCCTTCCAGGAGTACAAATTAGGAAAATAAGTGGTGCTACTCTTAAACACCACCCGCAAGTCAAGCTCTTCCCACTTTGAGCACCAAAATTAGAAATGAAGCAGATTGTACAGACGCTCAAAATACTATCCCATGCTGTACTGGGCTCCTCAGGTATAATGGAGCTTAAATTCACCCAAAAGCAGGATCAAAGTAAGGAGCCAGAACAATAGGCACTAGCCTTGGCTCTTAGCTTCCAGTCATATCAGAATCTAAACTTGAATGTAAAAAACACCAAAACACACAAACCAATCTGGGCCTTATGGTACCAAACAAAAGCAAACTAGTGTAAATTAGTGCATTGATTTCTGCCCAAGTTTGGAGAGAGAAGGGAGGAGCTACAACAGTCAAAGCCAAGGATTAAACTGGGCCAACACCCACTCAGCAAAGCAGGCCTTTGTGCAGGGAACAGGATCTGGTCTAGTCTGATGCGGAGACTGGAGTCCGAGTGGCCAACTTAATTTCTGCTGTCTGACAAAAGTAACAAGGAACATCTGTGTTTTGTGATACACTGTTGTGGGAAAGGTCATTTATAACCAATGTCCAAAGACTGTCTACAATTTGAGGAGAGCAGGAGGCTTAAGAAATTTCCAGAAGGGAAGTGACTACCACAGCCATAATGTGGCAGGTACCTGTTTTTCATAAAGAAACCACCTGGCAGGAGTGATGCGAGCTGGTAACATTCTTTACTGCATAGGCATAATAGACAATTTTCAATCGCACGTAACTAAAGAAGTCAAATGTTGGTCACACATCTATAGTGGTCATCATTAAGCAGCCGGTATTCACCAGAGACTTTTTCTCATCACAGTTAATGAGAGGTTGGTGGGATATGCATATCACTAGGCATATCTACAAATTGCTGTACATTGCTGTAGCAACGCACTACAGCACCGTACGATGCACTACAACAGCAAAGCAATCACGTCAGTCTACATGGCAGTCAGCAGCTACCTCGCCATAACAGCACGCTTCCCCATTTTAGCACACTGCTCTGACAAAGTAGCAGTGAACACTTACCGCATGCACAGCACAGTACAGGCAGTTACT